CTCACGTGCCCAGCCGCTCCGCGGCATATGGGATCCTCCTGGACCGGGGCACGAACCCATGTCCCCTGCATCGGCAGGCGGACTCGCAACCACTGCGCCACCAGGGAAGCCCACTACTCTGGCTTTTTAGGACCACGGTTCAGTAAAATCATGGTGACTTGAACGCAGCGCCTGCCTATCATATACCGCCACCGTCGGTCTGATAACCAAGATGGCCACTAGGTGACTAATGGGCGGCTACACTCCACAAACAGAAGATCCACGCTCTTCACGCCCCAGCCAGACAGCGCGAGATTTCATCACGCTACTCAGAAGGGTGAGCAATTTAAAATTTAGGAATTGTTTACTTCTGAAAATTTTCATTTAATATTTCCGGATGGAGAGTAACTAAAACCATGGAAAGCAAAATCATAGATAAAGGGGGACTACTGTACAGAATATGCTCAATAAATATGCATTAATGAATAATGGATACTTATTATTAACTATCTTTATTAAGCATTGGTGAACAGATTGTCATTTATGGTGAGTAGGAGAGAGACCTGCTTTCATGGCTTCTTAGACTTTTAGATACTGCCTGTTCATGAATTCCCTGAACTCTGTGATCTGTTCACTTCATGTTGGATCCCAACCACACAGTAAGTCTCTTGCTCCCAGGCTCTTTCTATTCATCACGCATTAGGATACCTGGGTTCTAATTCTGGCTCTGTCACAAACCAATTGTATGAATTTAGGCAAATCACCTTTCCCTGCTAGACCTCAATTTACTCACCTCTAAAATTAGGGGGATTTTAGAGATTATCATACTAAGTGAACTAAGACAGAGAAAGATAAATATTGTATGATATCACTTACACGTGGAATCTAAAAAATTATACCAATGAACTTATTTATAAAACAGAAACAGACTCACAGACTTAGAAAACAAACTTATGATTACCAAAGGGGAAAGGTGGGGGGAGGGATAAATTAGGAGGTTGGGATTAACATATATACACTACTATATATAAAATAGTTAATCAACAGGGACCTACTCAATACTCTGTAATATCCTATATGGGAAAAGAATCTGAAAAAGAATAGATATATGTATAACTAAATCACTTTGCTGTACACCTGAAACTAACAAAATATTGTAAATCAACTATACTCCAATACAAAATCATTTTTTTAATGTTAAGAAAAGAAAAAATATTTTTTAATAAAATTAGGGGTAGTTGCTAAGGTTTCTAAAGTCCTTTCCAACTCTACGATTCTGTAATGCTATTTCCACCTCTCAAAATTCAGCAGCAAGTAACTGAAGATCAGTGTCGGCCTGGTCTGCTAGCATAGGAGCTACGTGGTCTCCACGGGATTTAACGTAGAATTATTTCCTCCTTAGAATGAATTCCCAAAAAGAAACTGCCAATATGACCATTTTAATGGTCACTGGCACATACCATGTTATGTTAATGGCCCTGGACCTAGATGATGCTCTCCCCAACTCCCACCCTTCAGCCCCAACCTGAACCCCACTTCAGAGATAATGGTATCTCAATGAAACCAGCAAAATGGAGTTACAATGCTTACTCTGGGATAATTCACCCTCTCTATGATTCTTATTTCAAAAAATATTAGCTACATGCTGCATCTCTTCGATTTTATGACAATTCATGAGGACCGCAGGTCTCATAAAAGTTTGATAAAGCATTTCTCTATCTATCTATATTTTGTACATCTATAATTAGGAATTTCAAAAGATTGTATTATCAGTTGAGCTCTGTCACCAAGGACCAGTGAAGTTCAAAGATATTGCACTGGTTCGGAAAATATCCACTTCTCAAACACATTACAGCAGTATTTCCAAAATTTTAGCCATTTACATGCCACTTTCACAATCTTGACCATATCTGCATATTATCTGTAATAGTAGTTATTTAATCATTTCCTTAAAATCAATAGTAAAGTGGCTCACTTTCTTTTTACTTAACATCTTTCTGGGCAATAATATCCATGAAATCATACATTTTAAAAGCTAATTATATTTTTAATGCACATTAAACTATAAGCACAACTCAAATTTTCAGTTTGGATATGTGACACCTAAAATCAGTGATTTGTGTACCATACTTTGGGCAAATGATATTAATATGTAACTATATTTAAGCTATGATCATCTCTTTCTGTTTTTCAGACATAGAAGAATGATAACATCAGATAATATTCTTACTTTTAAATTCATCTACTCCACTGAACTCTATAAACAGAGCAAATCACAACATCCTGAGAAAATAGATGTCACTGTCAATAACAAGAAACAGAGTCCCCCATATAGAGCGGCAACAAATACAATAAACATAAATATGGGGCTTCCCTGGTGGTGCAGTGGTTGAGAATCCGCCTGCCAATGCAGGGGACACGGGTTCGATCCCTGGTCCGGGAAGATCCCACATGCTGCGGAGCAACTAAGACCGTGCACCACAACTACTGAGCCTGTGCTCTAGAGCCTGTGAGCCACAACTACTGAGCCCACGCGCTGCAACTACTGAAGCCCGCGCGCCTAGAGCCAGTGCTCCGCAACGAGAGAAGCCACGGCAATGAGAAGCCCGCACACCACAACAAAGAGCAGCCCCCCACTCACCACAACTAGAGAAAGGCCCTCGCGCAGCAACAAAGACCCAACACAGCCAAAAATAAATAAATTAAAAAAAACATAAATATGGAATGAGTTTACAACGAAAGTTTGAATGTCCATTCCTGTTAAAGTTCTTCAACCCATAGAACTTAAAATATCAGGAAATAAAAGCATTTACAATGAACATTTTATTTTGAAAAGCTGTCATTCTCTGCAAAAGATTAAGGGACAGGAAAATAGTACATGTGCTGTGTTCTGGGAAAGGGGTCAGTGAAATTTTGGAATGGGAGAAGCCATGGAATTTCAGAAATATTTTGAAATGCACACACTTATTCTTAAGGAAAATTCCAGGTTCTAAACCCAAACTTAGATCACATAGCACTTAAGGGGGGATTGTTACAGCTTAACAAATCGGGCGTGCTCATTACACAGTATTATTTTATGTGAGATTTTATAATATCCATCATAATTTACATATAGCTTTTTTTAACTTCAAAAAATAATATTTTAGTGTTTAAAGTAGTTATTGTCTCTCTACTCATGCAAGTGGATGCTATAAAATTTTGGAGTCTTGTTGGGGGAAGAACTTGAAGAATTCATCTCAGACTCAAAAAGACATTTGAAGTGGAGAGTAAATTATTGCTAGAATAATTTAAAGTGTTTTGTTTCTTTTGAGGCTGCAGGTTGACAGGATTTGGACAAAGGAGGTGGGAAGACAGAAGTAAATTATTTTGGTCAGTGGATATAAAGACTTGACTTGGCTTTTGTTTACATCTGTTGTGTTATCCAAGCTGTAAATTAACCTACACCCACCCTTACCCAAAATAATGCACACCATACAGTCATGTAATCTGCTGACACACCACTCAGACCTAGGGGTGCACAGCTTCTGTGGTACAATTACTAATACTCTTTTTGGTTCACTTGAATTCGAGGTCAAGGAGGAAAGAGGAGAAACAACAGAATCTTGAGACTATGATGAAGCATCATGTATAGACTTGTACAGCAACAGTGATTACATGTGAAGAATTAAAAATGTTCTTAACAATGAAGTATCAGCCAACCAAAACTGAATATTGTTTCTCATAAGAGTACTAGCTGCACTAAGTAAAAAGAAAAGGCAGAGGGAGATAGAAGCAAACAGAGATGCCATTATGTTGTGACATAAAGTCCCCTCCCTTCTGATCCTGCCTCTCTTTTCGCCCTCACCCACCTGCAAATTCCAAACAATTCTAAAGGTTTTAATCTGTGGCTTTAAAAAGTCATCCGGACCCCTAATTTTAAATGCTAAAATTGGTTAATGAAAGGACTCTTTTGAATAGAAATACGAAGGATTTTAATTTCTCATACTTTCTCTCTACATAATGCTTCTCCACATCCAGAATTCCCCTCGGGGTTCATCCCAAATGAGAAGAGCAATTTTTCAGCCTTATCTGTTTCCTGGCAAAACTATTGAGGCCATGATAAAAGTGACAGTTTCTGTTATCACTACCTATATACTCCAGGCAAACGTCCCAAGGTTAATTTTTCAAATAAGTAATCCCAATTCCTGTAATCAAAGATCATAATTCAGTGATAAATAAAGGCAGATGTTCACTAGCAGCAGTTCTAGCAAGTCTCATGACTTGAGGACTTTTTTAAACTTTTTTTTTTTCTTTTTTGGCCGCCCAGCGCGGCGTGGGGGATCTTAGTTCCCTGACCAGGGGTGGAACCTGCGCCCCCTGCAGTGGAAGCCCGGAGTCTTAACCACTGGACCGCCAGGGAAGTACCCATTATTTAAGCCTTTAAAAGAAAGGGGTTTCGGGACTTCCGTGGTGGCATAGTGGTTAAGAATCCGCCTGCCAACGCAGGGGACACAGGTTCGAGCCCTGGTCCGCGAAGATCCCACGTGCCGTGGGGCAACTAAGCCCGTGCTCCACAACTACTGAGCTTGCGCTCTAGAGCCTGCGAGCCACAGCTACTAAGCCCGTGCGCCTAGAGCCCGTGATCCGCAACAAGAGAAGCCACTGCAATAAGAAGCCGGAGCACCGCAACGAAGAGCAGCCCCCGCTCACCGCATCTAGAGAAAGCCCGCGCACAGCAACGAAGACTCAACGCATCCAAAAATAAATAAAATATTCAAAAAAAATAATAAAGAAGCTGGTTTCTTTTCTCTTCCTAATAACCTAACTTTACTGCTGTAGGTGGTCCTTCTCCCCTCCCCCTCCCTTTCTGGGGAGTTTTCAGAAGTGCAAATGTTCTTGGAGCTCCAAAGTTATTTCAATGTAGAGAAGGCCACCAGGTGGAAACAGGGTCACAAGTTAAGAAAATACTGCCTTAAAAACTATGTCATCTTTTATACCCACATCTACTACTGAGTTTTTGTCATTAAAAGGCTGATACTCACCTTTATCTCGAAGAAGAGGAAATACACTATAAAACTGGCAAATCTAACTCTGAAAAAAGTTAATTATAGCACAACCTCCCTGAAATATACTGTTTCTCATAAACGGCCTCCGTTTCAGGAAGTAGGAATTTGAAAGAAAACATAGACTGTTATTGTCTCAGAGTTTGATTGTGTAATTCAACTCCGGGACTTTCAGCAGTTCTAGAATTGCTTTAGTGAAAGGTATTCTGGGAGTTGTATTACTACAGAAAAGTTCCTTCTTCTAAAGAAAGTGCAAGAAAACTCCTTATTTGGACTAAGTCAGAATGGAGGGCCAGTCCCCTTGAGAGCCGAGGAAAGAGACCGTTAGTAAGAAACAATGAACATGACATTGTTTGTGATCTATTATCAAAAGAAATTCATGTTACAGCACCATTCGGCGCTCCATCTATTTTAGAATTAGTGTGCAGAATTGAGCTTATTGTTACAAGGACACCTATATTACCAAGTTTTTTGAATTGAAAAATGAAATTGGGATTGACATGTATACACTGATGTGTATAAAATTGATGACTAATAAGAACGTGCTGTATAAAAAAATAAATTAAATAAAATTCAAAAATTAAAAAAAAATGAAGTTGGAATTTATCTCATAGAAAATCTCATTGGGCTGATTGGCTTAACAGTGAGGACTATCAACTAGTGTTATATAGTGGATATCGTCCTTCAATCTAAATCTGCGGCTCCAAATTTTGACAAAATAATATCAAAAGTACATGAAAAGATATTTAAACGTTTAACAACATTTTATTGGAAAAGTTGTTGACGTCAACAATATTTTAATTTCCTCAGTCCTTTCTGAGCCTGCTGGATTAAAGAAGTGTCCTCTCCAGTGAAGGAGTAAGACATTTCATTAGTAGTAATTTGATAAGTCTTGGTAAAGCCTTTTTGATATAGTTCCCCAAAACTGAGAAACTGAATGACGAATAAGTGGGTGACAAATCCTTCGGCAAGCTGGATGGTTTCCAACTCTGCTTCTCAACAAAACAGAAAAAGAAACTACTTACGTATTCAGCTACTAAATATTTTAAGTACTAAATACTCAGTATTTAGACAACTTAAAAAAATTTTTATGATAGATCACTATGTAATTCTTAATATACGACCTTAGAAGAAGTTCAAATAACCAAATGAATTGTATATCAAAACTCTTTCTATCTCCTTTTATTTATGTAAAGAGTTTCTCTTTTCTCTGTATGCATTTTTTTTGTAGAATGCTGGTTTATTCCAGCTTTCAGTAACATTCATCCATGAACTAATTTTTAAAAACCTTATAAATCGGGCTTCCCTGGTGGCGCAGTGGTTGAGAGTCCGCCTGCCGATGTGGGGGACACCGGTTCGTGCCCCGGTCGGGGAAGATCCCACATGCCGCGGAGCGGCTGGGCCGGTGGGCCATGGCCACTGAGCCTGCGCATCCGGAGCCTGCGCATCCGGAGCCTGTGCTCCACAACGAGAGAGGCCACAACAGTGAGAGGCCCGCGTACCACAAAAAAATAAATAAATAACTAAATAATAAAAAGAGAGAAAACCTTATAAATCTCACTGAGAAATGCATTTTCCATAAAATCTTATTCTGTTTAATAGTTATCCACCAGAATATATCATTTATTTTTGTCTTTCTAATCTATTATGAATTCATAATCCTTGTAATGTATAACTCTGTATTTAAAAAATTAACACTTAAAGTCTATGGTCAGAGGAAATAAAAACAAAATTTAAAAATGTTTAATTTTAGTATGCACATGTTTTTATTGTAAAGAAATATGACTTTTTTTTTTTTTTTTGGCTGCTTGGCTTGCAGGATCTTAGTTCCCCCACCCAGGCCCTCAGCAGTGAAAGTGCGGAGTCCTAACCACTGGACCGCCAGGGAATTCCCAAGAAATATGATTAAAATAACTTTCAAGCATATAAACTACTAATATTAGGAGAAAATTCTATGGAGAAAGTGGAAAGGAAATAAAAGTTAAAGGAGATGAATAATATAAACTTTCCAGTTGTTAAACTTGTACATGTACAAGAACTTGTACCTGTGTTTTTAAATGGATGATGGGGTCAGCAAATTACTAGCATATATAATTTCCATTGGGTACATCTAAAAGAGTTATTAAACATCTGACTTAGATCCTTTGCAACTATTTAAAGTGATGATAAAAGATGGATATCAACTTAAAAATGTGTGAGAGGGTTGTTTTTGTAAAATTCTGTTTGAGAGTAAATGAGCAAAAATGTTAGAAATTCAGTATTCTAGAGCCTAAAAGAGGGCATTGGATACTTGGGAATGGAAAGAGAGAAAAGGGTGCTGATACTTTTATCATCCTTATTTGAGGGATGCAATGAGGCATTTATCTTGCCTACTATCTGGACAACAGTTGAATCTGTCTCCAATAGCGATTTCTGGTAGAATTCCCAGAGCCATGGAAACACAAAGATAGAATGTCTCATTTATGATCACAATGTTGAGCTTTAGAAAGATTTCAAAGATAAAAATTCTTTGAGATGGAAAACTAATAATGCAAGCCTCAATTATTGTGAGATGTACACTCATAAAAGAAGTATATTATGAATCACTTAGAAAAACTGGTTGCACCATCATATTCATTTTTATTTTCTAGGTTTGACTATTTTCTAATCTTGACTATAAATCGCTAAAACAAGCTGATATCATTCGTTTGTTCAAATAACATGTTTAGAGCATTTATATTGTGCCTAGTGTTACATTGGTGCCATGGATTCAGACTGATCACGTAAGAAATACCCTTAATGCAATCACAGCGACAGATAGGTTGGTGGATATATGGCTAGAAATTACCTGGAAAGATAGGAGTTAGCTCATAATATGAGAGCTTTGTGTTTAATTCTAAGGAGTTTGAACTTTTATCTTGAAAGCACTGGGGAATCATAGAAAATTTTAAGGAATATGGTAAAATCATATAACTATTTTAGAAAGAATGCTCATTGTAGTAGGAAGGTTGGATTATGGGACAAGGTTTATTCCAGGAGAAAATCATGGTAGTGGATGGATTAGAAGGCAAGACTGGAGTTAGGAAATTGAGTTAGAAGACTACTGCACTGGTCTATACCGCAGTGATGACTGGGCTTAATTAATAAGAATAACAGTAGAAATAAAAAGCAGAAAGAAATACCGGCTTCCCTGGTGGTGCAATGGTTAAGAATCTGCCTGCCAATACAGGGGACACAGGTTTGAGCCCTGGTCCAGGAAGATCCCACATGCCGCGGAGCAACTAAGCCCGTGCGCCACAACTACTGAGCCTGTGCTCTAGAGCCTGCGAGACACAACTACTGAAACCTGCGTGCCACAACTACTGAAGCCCACGTGCCTAGAGCCTGTGCTCTGCAACAAGAGAAGCCACCACAAAGAGAAGCCTGTGCACTGCAAGGAAGAGTAGCCCCCGCTCGCCACAACTAGAGAAAGCCCGTGCACAGTAATGAAGACCCAACACTGCCAAAAATAAACAAATAAAATAAATAAATTTTTAAAAAAAGTAGAAAGAAATATTTAGGAGTTAGGTTCACAGGCCTGTGTGAGAGACATAGAAGTATGGGTAAACGACTTAGAGGCTGTCCAAAAACAATAACTGTAGTTAGAGATTACCGAGGGAGGATGTGAAAAGTCACAAGAAGCAAGTGTGGTAATATCAGTATTCATGCCAGAAGAGAGGGGCCACAAGCGAGATGGGGAAAGAATGTGTAGATCACAGCAGAGAAAGCAAAAAAAATTATGCTCTAAAAACAGGATTGGCTGTATAATCTGTGGGACCTCTTGTCCAAAAATTATTAAGAATTTCAAGATGACGACAGCAGAGCCAAGCATGAGGCCCTGAGTATGGGGCCCTGTGCCACCGTTCAGGTCACACCCTCATGAAGCCAGCCCTTCCTAAAAGCCAGGTAGGTGAGAGTGGTTGTGTCATATCTCAATAAAGTGGGAGTGGTCAACAGTACCAAATGATGCAGAGAAGTGAGAAGGATGAGGATAGAAAAGTGTCCATTGGCTTGGCAAGTAGGTCAAGGATAGTTTTAATAAGAACAAATTCAGTGGAGTAGTGGTAGAAAGGAGATGAAATATTTTAAAAATCGTTGTAAGATAAATAGAGTAGAAAGAGAATCTTTCAATCTAAGCCTACATTAAATAAAATATCCAGGTGGAGCCTATTTTTGGAGGGGGTTACATTCTTTGCAAAGGTCTTCAGTGATGGAGCAATATGATCTCAAGACCAACTTAACCCTTTTATTATATAACTAACTACATAATAAACATGAAGGCCACAAACAGCAGGGAATAGTGAGACTTCTATGGGCATAATGGCCAGAATGTCATTCTGGAACTTTCTTCAATTAGTTGTCAGCACAATGATGATAAGCATAAAGAAAGAACCAGAGATGGAGGATAAAAAGAGAACTTATTCCAGGTATGGCATTTTTCTGGGGAAAGACTTTCTGTTTTATTTTATGAGAAAATGAAATTATTGTATTATAAATTAAATAATGTATATGGTCTAATCCCTCATTAGTAGTATAAAGTTGTTATTTGTTAGGATGCTAGTAATTCATTAGATTTTAAAAATTAATGGAAAAGCACTGGGACTTCCCTGGTGGCGCAGTGGATAAGACTCTGTGCTCTCAATGCAGGGGGCGTGGGTTCGATCCCTGGTTCAGGGAACTAGGTCCCACATGCATCCCGTAACTAAGAGTTTGCATGCTGCAACTAAGGAGCCCGCCTGCCACAACTAACACCCAGTGCAACCCCCCCAAAAGAAAATTAATGGAAAAGCACTAACAAATGATATGTAAATATTTAAATATAATATTAAAGAGGAGGAGGTTTTGGGTTTTTATTTTCTTTCTTACTAAAAATTACACTAATAAGGAGTACTATATGACAAAGTTTAGATTTAACAAGGCAAAATTAAGTTACTTGGTTTGGAGGATATGTGACAGGTAGAAATAATGCATCCCTCCCCCCAAAACTGGCCCTTCTTTTCCTGCTTACATAGCTCTCATAATAAGTGACTGGGGATTCCAGGATCAGGATCCACTGGAGACTCTCATTATCCACTGGGCTCCTCTAATCAAAAAACCTTATTAGTGTTTTATTGTTGTCTAAAAATTACCACAAATTTAGC